TGGTCTGGAAGCCGGATCCAGTGTTAATTTTGGAAGGATGATCCTGTTTGAACTACTTTCCAGAAGCCAGAGATCTCCACAAGGGGGTTCCCACCCCGACGGCCGAATAAAATGGATTCTCTTATTAGCATAGTTTGGACGTCTGTCAGCTTTTATGTACCTTGGGCTTTGTACTGTGCTTGACACCACATTGTAATGGAAAGCCAGTACAAAGCCCACTTCTGAACATAGAGATTTTCTATTAGTTTCTTTGTAATGGCAATAGTTGTTTGTGTGTGGGATTAATTCACAATCCACGCAATTAATCTACCAGTCTCTTTTCCTTCCAGACAATCCAGTTTTCAAATGTGCATCACTGACAGAATCAGACCTATAGAAAGGACAACACAAGAAGGGAATGCTTTAAAACCTTCAATACGGATTTTTCCAGAGGGATTTCTGTGAAAGTGGTTCATCACTTGGGCAGGATTTCAGTCAACTGGCTTTAAAACAGAAGCAGAAATGGGTTGTGGTCTTTTGCCAATGATAAAAGAGTAATCCTACAACCGCTAAAATCTGATGCCACTCCATTTTTTGTCCGTGTCTTCTTCAGAGGTTTGTGTGTCTTTTTCTTCAATGGTTCTTGGTGCAGCGCCACTACAGGTGACAGAGGAAATCGGTTGTTCAAAGGGTTTGGTTCATTTGACACAGTGCAATGTGAAGGCAAACTTCAGCAGCTGAAAATCTAGCAAATGCTGCAATTTTCAGCTCCCGTCAAAATACGTCTACAGGACTATCAGGTGTGAATGTCATGCAAAAAGGACTATTGTTCGTTGATAATAACGAGATCCATAAACATAAAAGGACATGAAGTAGGTTTAAAATACATGTCACAGTAAAGTCAAATCTACCAAACAACCGGTGGCCAAAATGTGGTCCAAGTACTTTTGATCACCCCAAGCCAAAGAAGGTGTCTCCCTCCTATTATTTCAATTGACATTGTCATGGACCACAGACTAAAATTAAAAGGGCCTAAATGTTTCTCTCTCTCTTTCTCTCTAAAGGAGATGTTAAAGTTAGAGGAGGGCGTTGGTGAGACAAGGGCATTATTTCTGGTGACTGACGGGCACAAAACTGCTTTCCAAAGCTGCACACTTGGTTTTTTTTAATCACATGCAGTTGACAAAGATAGACTTGAGACTTAACTTATATTCACCCTCTAAAAGCTTGAGGTTTAAATCAGGCTGCTGGGTTGGGACTTGACTATCAAGAAAACCTGGTATATCTTGTAAGCGGGGAGAATGTCTGACATATGTAAGCCACAGACTGTTACTCTGACAAAGGGGTTCACGTTATCCTGTTACAGGGTACGTTTGATTTACCAACCAGATGTTCTCAGGCTGTGGTCTATTTATTGCTCATGACAATCAGTTCAGGTTAGCTGGAGCTTCATAACACCGACCACACAGATTTCTCTCTGACTGAAGTCAGTCAAAAGTGAGGTAATATCTGAACTTCCTTGACCTTTGATGTCCTAGTCTCTTGCTGTTAAAGGTGCAGTGTTATGTCAAATCTTTTTTCAGCTTTACATTATGTTCTATAACGTTATTCCCTCATCAAAAACACACCTGGAGTGTTGGTTTTATTATTTTTTTTCATGCATGTTTGAGAATTTTTTTAATTTCTTGAGGCAACCATTCAGTTGTGGAAAAACTGAACCTAGCATCGACTTTTCAACGCAATGCTAGTAAAAACGTTGGTAGAGGGTCAATATAGGAGCCATGTTGTGATGACTTCCTGAGGGCAGAGTTTCAATAAGCCAGATGTTTTTAAAGAGACAAAGGTCCAAATTCAAGGCATTTAGTTAGGGCGTAAAATTTATTTCAAGTTATTTTAGATATGTAGTATTTTTATGTTATCTCAGGTTCACATAGTTACTTGATTGTGCTATAAAATGCCTCTATGTGTCTGGAAAACACACTTCCTCTTTTAAAATAACGTCATTACCAACAGAGACAGATCTGTTGCATTTTTACATGTCGACTTCAGACATGTATATAAAAAAAGTCTATGCTGTGAACATCTATGCTGTTAAAAGACTCACATAGCTGGGTATCAGCACCAGCAGTCGGTTTTTAAATAAATAAATGATGAAAATCAACATCCAAATCCTCTGCTCTCTTCCAGGACACCCGAGACCCTTAAAACATTGTCTGTCATTATGGATTTAGGACCTAATCAGTTAGAGAAACCTTATATTGCACGATTTTGACCTTTCCCACTAATTTCACGCTCTTTTTCAGTGATCGGCGCTCATGTTGTCAGTGTGCCTTTGACGACACCCGGCAAACCGAGGATTAAGGTTATGAAATTGGCGTGAAGAATGGCGGCTGGTGGTGTTTAGTGCAGGCGCAGGTCAAAGATGGGAGGTTGCTTTCAGGTCATCGGGTTGTTTTCTTTACACTTCTTATTATCTTCGTATGAAGAGAGCTTTCCTCACCGGACGTCTGCTGTCGATTGTTGCCATTTAATCTGCAAAAGTCGAATATAAAGCATCAACGCAAACAGGTGAATGAATCAATCAGCCACTGATTTGTACGTTAGTGGGTGATGCACTGAACATGGACATCTTTGCTAAAAAACACAATAGGATTATGTATACGAAATTCTTCTTTGGTGAGATTTTTACCTTGATAAACAGCGCTTATGACTTTAAAGCAGCATGAATCCTGACTTAATGAGATGTCTGTAGATTATTAGTGGTGCTAAAGTACTGAGGGCTTCTCTTGGGTCATAGGTCAGGAGGTTGACAGCAGCCCTAAACATACACTCTGGAGGAACATAAGCTAAGAAGGAGGAGCGAATAACTGAAAGGTGAACCCAAAATGTTTTTGGTGAGTTTCAAGACGGCACAGATTAGGAATTACTGTCAGTCTGCCTGTCTGATTTGATCCGTCATTTTAGTTTTAGGCTTTTCTTCTTTTTTTCTTCTCCAACTTTCATATTTTTTTTGTGTTTTTTTTTAACAAGTCCAATGTCAGCGCTGTCTGTAATGATGTTAACAATAGTCTCTGAAGCCACCTTGAAGGATCAGCCCCACCTGAAAAAGTTTCTTTTTTGTTTGTTTTGTTGGTTGTTGTTTTGGCATAGCAGTGTAGAAATGTCAGTGTGGATGACTGCACAGATAAAGTTTACAATGCAAATAAAGCAAAATGCCAGATGTCTGTGGCCTAGTGACCCTCCTGTGAACTTTGCGGTGGAAGGATAAATTACAGCAGCAGTCAGTGTTTGTTTTTTGTTTTTTTAGTAAAAGTCAATCTCTCTTTCCTTTACACATATACAATAACTATTTTCATTTTTTTGATCCATCTTTCTGTCCATTTTTTTTCACCCACTTATCGTTTATTAACTGACTAAATCAAAGCAAATCTGTCTTAATGAGACATCTCTTAAATGTCTCATTAAGACAAGTCTTAGCCTATCTTAATGACACGTAAGATTTAAGTCTCAAGTTAATTTTGACACATCTTTGTTAAAATCTGAACATACTTTCTTCACAGTTGAATGCAGGTAAAATATGTACACATTTTTGTTTTTCTCTTGACCTACCAACCTTGTTACTTTAAAGTTGTTTACCAAACCAGAATTTCTGGTTGCTATTACACCTCGAGTAATATAGCATTAGCATCACTTTATTAAAATCACCATAATTTTTAAAAAAATCTAATACTTATTTAGTGGAACCTTTTTCACTTTCGCCAACATAGAAGTACAAAACAAAAAGCTTTATCCTGGGCAGTGCTTCTCATTATTTCTTCTTTATTTGTAATTATTTAAAGAAACAGTTCTCGGTTTTTGTTAAATACTTTATTTCAAACATGTAAGGCCTAATAAACCCAACAACCCTGAACAGTAATTAAAAAAAATCCAGATCACAACACTAAATTTTAATTAGCTATTAAACAGATCAAATGTAACTTTCTACAGCAACTAGTAGTTATAAGAGATTTATCCATTTCTAAGCCTACTTGCCTACATATGTATGTAAGGACTGATTTAAAACTCAAATTATTCAGTTTTGTGCCTTTTTAAAACATAAAAAGCTTTTCTGATGGCCTCAGGTGTTTGACCTGCATAATCAATTAGAGGAGACATACGGTTTCCCCTGCAGAGCAAACATGCCAGAGCCTCGGGCCGCTGTCTGAGGCTCTTTACAATCTGTGACCTCTGAGTTTCACTGGGGTCACACGATTCCTACTAACAAACACCAACATCTGAAACTGAATTCTTTTTACTTTTCAAAGTCTTCCACTTGCCAGAATCAGATATTTAAAAAGCTGTTCCTTGTGCTTGCAGGTTGCAGTTCACCTGAAGCTACAACCTGTGGTTACCTCAGCTCAGCGTTCTAGGATGACATGTTTGTGGCTTCTCTCTTTCGCCGCTGCATTTCCTTCACTTCGCTTTTGCTTACCAGTAGTGACCAGAGATCTACTAAATTATCAAAAAAAACGTCAGTACTTTTTCGCAAAATTCCAACACAATGCAAGCATTAGACTGGAAAGATGCTGCCTGTTTTTTTTTTTTTTTCCTGTCACCCTTGGAGAAGAACTGTTTTCCTTCAAGTTCTCTTGGATCAAAGGATAATGAAGGAGGGAAGATTCTTTTAAAGGGTGTGATTCTAAGCTAAATGAATATTTTGAATCGTCTCAGTGTCTTAAACACAGTTGTTAGGGGTCCTGAGCGCCGGGATCAACCCTTAAGTCGCACTTAGGAGCCATCAGAATTTAATAAAGTTTTGGTCAAACAAAGAAAAGCTGGGGGAAGACACCGTCTTGACATCAGTGTCCGAGGTTAAAGCTGCTTCTCGTCCAAAGCTCAAAAGTGCTGATTTTGTGTTGCATCTAATGTTTAAGGGGCACGCAGCACTTTTTACAAAAAAAGCAAAAAAAACACAGAAAATGGCAAAACCACGTTCACAGAAAGGAAGCTGAAGCCTGTTGTGTATTTTTGTGTGATTTCAGGGGGCTTTTCATCACCATTCATGACCGAGGGCACATTGCTTCAATTCTCCAAAACTGGCCAGAAAAAGACATAAAGGTAAACCTTTGACTTGAAAGTTTGTTCTATTTTTTCAACTTCATTTTTTTTTGTGCTAAACTCAAAACAAAGTGCATCACAGAATATGTTGTTTTCGAATGTAATTGCAGACAAAAAGTGGAGGTTTTTAATATTGTGGATTTTATTGATCGGAAATAATTAATGGCAACTGATCGATTATGACATAAAACAGTGTGTACTGTAAGAAAAATATGCAGAAATAATGCAACCAAAGTCTACTGCAGAGACTTTAGTGGGAACCAGTTATTAGTCATATCCCTCCAAAAGCAAAACCCAAGCAATGGAAAATAAATCTTTTTCTCAAAATATTTTCATAAAAGCAATATGGCTTCCTGCCCAGGGTGTCAAAGTGCTTGTTTACAGGTCAACAAACAAACAAACAAAAACATTAGTGTGGATGAATAAAAATAAAAGAAACAGTTATACAAAAGTGTTTCATTGTAAAAATGGTTTGTGATTTGTTTTGTTGCTACCTGAAGTGTGAAATAAACTTCAGTGGAGTTTGAAAACAAAATATGTGTAGAGCTTTATGTCGGGTTGAACGATGTGTGTGTCCAGCTGATTTTGTTTTTCTTTTTTGGGGGGAAGAAAATCTTTGGGAACCGCTGCATTAGACTGAGGTTGGTCAACCCTAGTGTGCTTTCTGCTACCCCAGAGGAAAGCTAAACAGTCTCTTCCTCTCTTTGCACTTCATAAATAAAAAAAAACGTGCCGCGCTCTCGGCAGCATGACGACACCGTCAGGCATTCCTCGCATGTCGGCTTTACCTGCAGCCGCAGCCACCTGTTCACAGCTGTCAACAGCAAGGCATTTACTGTACCTGAGCTCTGCTACTGCTGCTGCGCGTTCTGAAGGTGGTCTTATTGTAACCTAAGTCGGTACGTCCTACTTTCAACATTTCACAAAGGAGCCAAGGTTGTCATTCTCTGATGAGCCCGAGGCGCTACTGGAACATATTAACAGCATTTGGCAAGAAGGGAGAAGAAAAAAACAGCATGGAAACTAATCAGGCACACTCCAAAATTGTGAGATTTTTGGAGGGGAAAAAAAGCTGTGAAAGTGTTGCGCCTTCAGTGACACTTTTTGCAAAAGTGCAAAAGTTTCTTTTTCTTACGTCAGGCGTTACATAAATGACGTGTGTAAAGCAGTAAACGAAAGTTTATTGATTAAATTTGAAGCAGGGTTTCCTCGAGGACTCATAGTGTAAAAGTTCATATTTGTTCAAACATGGCAAAATAAAGAAACAAAGACCAGCTCTGACTGAGTCCTGCTGTTCACACCAAAGGGCCGTTCAAAAGAATACAATCACTCGTGAACGACACGTCTACACTCTCTACAGGTGACTTGACTTGTCTACTTAGAAATATACATTTTCTGAAGTTTCCGGATTTTGACTCCATTTTCCAACAAGGCTGTGAGTTTATAAGCCAAACGTATTGGACAAAATCAAAACAAAATGAATAGCCAATAAAGCCTGGTATGTTAATCAGCTCTGGGTTTCCCCATTTTGACCCACAAACCTTTCAGGTTCGCTCTATGAACGTTGCAGTTAGACAGAATGGAGAAAAAAAAAATTTTAGGCAAATCAAGGCCACTGTTTAATTTGTCTAAATCAAATTGCTTTATTTTTAAATATGCAAAACATGGATATTAGAGTACTTTCTTGTTTTATTTGAACAAATCTGTCGCCTGAGATGAGGAATGTGTTTCCGTTCTGGTTTGTGTCGAATGACAGGCTGTTTGTGTGACGGATGGAGAGAGGATCCTGGGACTGGGGGATCTGGGTTGCCATGGCATGGGCATCCCAGTGGGGAAGCTGGCCCTCTACACGGCCTGCGGGGGAATGCCTCCCCAGCAGTGTCTGCCCGTCATGCTGGATGTCGGCACAGACAACGAGGTAAGCGGTGATGTCGGCAAATCACAATAACCACCCTAAATAGAACCCAGTTTTTTTCAGGAGCCTAATGATGCGGTTTTAGACCATCTCTTCCCTTAATAACCCAAACACAAATGTATATTGTATATTTAACAAGGCTGTAATTGTTTTAAAAAGAAGTAAAGTTATTCTTCCTCCTTAGTCATGCCTCAGAGGGGCAGCCAAGTGTAGCTAACACATTTCACAGTTTACAATCAGGAAACACTCTGTGCTTTGGTGAGCTAAGCATCTCTGCCCATTCCGGTTGGGAAAGTACCTTTTTTTCCTCTGCCAGTCTGTGCTGAAAAGCAGCTTGGAGACTCATAGTTGTGTCTGTAATTGTTTAATTTTTTTATGCTGCCCTCTCGGTTACGGCAACAGACAGTTTTTCATTAATTATAAGGTCACAATCTGATGGAGCTTTCCCATTGATCATTTAATTAGTATTTGGCTCACGGGAAATGTTTCCATTTCAGCCGTAAAAATACCAGCATACCCCCCTCGACCCCAAAAAATAAAATAAAGCACACAGAAGATATAATAGTCAGTTGTTTTAATGCCGTTCAAACTTAACTGAGAGTAAAATTGTTCATTGGTCTGCCAAATCCTCCACTGGAGCTTTTAATCTTTACAGGGTTACAGCATTTGCAGTAACTCTGCTGACCTCTTTCTTTATGGGGCTCTCTATCCAAAAATTCTACTTGATTTTTTTGTCTTTTTCACCATTTCCTCTGGTCCATGAAGACAACGCAAATTTAACTTACGATAACAAAACTTTAAATAATGTTTTTCAAGTAAAAAATAAATACTGCACGGCAGTTTTTATATATATGGAATATGAGCTTTGTTCCAAAAATTTTTTATTTAGATGTTTTTTTGTTTGTTTGTTTTTTTTTACATCATTAGTGTTTGAAAATATATTACATAGTGTGTGTCCCATCTTGGATAACAGTTTAAAGCACATGAATACTGTATCTGGCCATTTTCAATCATCAGTTTGTTTCAGTTTTTAGTCCGTACCTTTGTGCAGTTCAGATAGACTTTAACAAATAAAATCTACAGACCTCTTAGAAAGAATGAGGAAAAGTTTAGGAAGTAAGTGCCCGACGATCGATTAAAGCCCAATGTCTTGGACGTCTTGCATGGGGATAAAAACTAACAGAGCATAAAACCCCAATTAAACACATTAAAGTTTCCAAACACGTTAAAGGGGTGTAAATATTTTTGCAAGACACCGTGCACATATATATGCAGGCGCAGATGTATTTGGCTTTCTGGTTTCTGTCCTGCAAACGCTTATAACTGAGATTTCACTGTATTCTGCCAAGCCCTGCTAGAGGTTTCTTTATTTCTGCCATTCTGAAGGGATGACAAGCTAAATGGGATGTAATTGGATAAATGGAGCTGCTTTGTGAGTGTGAGTGTGTGAGAGTGTGTGCGTGTGCGTGTGTGAGTGTAGCTCATCTTGACTAGACTCACGAAGACAGCAGGCCAGGATGTGGCCTCTTGGTAACCTGCTTCACTCTGCAGCCCCGTTTCTGGACGCATAATGGGAGAAGAGCGGGAGGCAGGGTACGAGGCAGTGGTTGCTTTGGCTAATTATTAAAATGACTACTATTAAAGGATTATGTTTATCCTTGAGTGGGTGTAGGGATTAATAGAGAGACACGAATACAGCCAAGAACTTAAACAGACAGATCCCAGAATGTTGAAGTTTCTTTTCTCCAAACTTATAATTTAAGTTTTAAGGACTTATTTACTTTGTGGTTTTCGCTGGATGAGCCAGGCGATACTTTATCTTAGCAGTAATTGTAAAGTCAGCAGCTGGGTAGCATGTTTGTTAGCGTTTATATTTTGAGGACAGAGGCACAAGGTTTTTGCCGTGTTTGTTGCAGGAGTCTTTTTTTGTTTTTTCAATGGATATTACAACAATCTTCCTGCATGGAAAATGGAAACCTGCTTGCCATGGAGAGCCTGCCTACACACGTACTTAGGAAGTGGTCAATCTGATCAAGGTTGCGTGGAATGCAGCGTGGTTTGAGGCATAGAGTATCCAGGCACAGTTTTAAATCTGACCTTTTTGAAACAATCGGACCACAAATTTTTATTGCTAATCCTCATTCCCTGGATTACAGGAGGGATCATTCACAGCTGCAATTGCCCACAGATCAAGTAGACCTGAAAATGATGGTGAAGAATAAGAAATAATTAGCCTGACTCAATAGCAACATTTCTAAACTTGGGTGAAGATACGAGCGTGCGGATAATGTTGGATCTGTGGTGCATTACTGAAGCCCAAAGTGGTCATGGAAGTGAAGAGAGTGAACCAACCATCCATTAGCCAGTGAAGTGGTTGGTTACTATCGAATGCATGTCTGGAAAGAAGTTACAGGCAGTGCTAGCCAACGAGTTACAGGCAATGCTGATCAAGGAATTATGGGCAGCTAATAAACAAAATAAGCATTGTCCATTTGCCATGCAACGTTCCATGGTGTTGCAGTTAGCAATCTTCTTCAAACCTAATCTTAGTTTAACTATATTTTACATTTGAAAACTAACTATATCCAAAGTAACAAACTATTTCAGCACTATTAAATATGAGGTCATTCTAACCTCATATTTAACAGTTTCTTAGTCTGCAAAAATAAATTACAACTTTCTAGATTTCTTCCTGTCCTTGTGTCCTGCTAGCACTGTCAGATAGAAATTATGAGCAAAACAGGCAGAACTCAGTCTAACATCTTTAGGAACAAGCGCAGCGCAAACATTGGCTCATGAGTGCACCATGTCATCCTAGACGATGTGCTGTTTGTGTGTAAATTACTGATGGGACTTTACAGCTAAAGTTCTTGTCTTTTACGGATGTCATGACTTCTTGTGTCTCTTTCCTGAGATTAAAGGCTTCGGTCCAGTTTATAACATAAACTTCTTCACCACTGAAACTTTGTCAAGCAGGGCAAGTAAAGTAATAGATTAAATATTAATATTAACACATCATATCGCTATCCCTAAAGCTGACATTTTTGCCTTAGTGAGCGAAGATAGCTTTGCCTCTCATGAGAGGTTTAATTTCCAAGAGAAAGAGGCCTGTAGAATAGAAAGGACAGCTCAGTCAAATAACAGAAGATAATCTAGGACAGAAAGACAACTCATGTCAGCAGCTCATCCCAGGTCAATGAGATCGGACCACTTTAAAACCACTCAGGGCTTCTTCTCTTTCACCCACGAAGCAGGTTTTGTCCCCATTTCTAAATGAACTGCCTTTCATTGAGTTTTTCATTCTTTCCCAAGCTCTTGCATCGTTTGTTTTAAATTCTTATTATAATGTCACCATGATATGAAGCCAGTTTCCTTGAGAAACGCCATAATGACACTGCTACATAAATAAATTGTACTTACTTACCAGAAAAAGGTTTCCCCTGCTTTAGTTACCAATGAACTCGGCCAAACCCTCCCTATAACTATCTGTTAAGGACATGCCAGGAAATGAGTTGCCATTTCTAAATAAATGTCCAGCATAAGCTCTTTGAGCTGTTCTTGGATGTACTGACTGTTGACCATGCCATGGAAAGTTTGTTTTATGTCTTCTCAAAGTAATGCCCATCTTCATGACAGCCTTTAATTTGACATGTCTTGCAGTAAGAGCTGCCTATGCCGGTACGACATGACTAAGCTGCAGAGCAGTCCACTGACCTTTAGGACAAAATGTGAACTTTCGTGCACCCCAGGTAAACTTTCTCCAAGACGATGCATGTCAAACAAAACCAGTAAACTACTTAAAGGCCATATTTAAGTACGTATTTACAGGCCGTATTTACAGCAGCCCTGTTTACTCCGCTTTAACCAAACTGGGATTTGTTTGGCTTGAACGTCCGGTTGTTATGGAGAGGTCTGAATGCGTAATCGAATACTGATGCTAGCGGGTGTTTGATTACTGTCTATCAAAGTTTTTTGCCTAAAAACTTGTGACCAGAGTTTTTAGGCAAACTCTTTTTCACCTAAAAACCTAGGCCTCGTGAACTCTGGTGTGGTTCAAATGCATATATGAATGTCAAAAGGACTGGAGACCACTCCAAAAGTAGGACGCAGACTACAACCCATGACATTCTGGGTAAATACAATCAAAACAAATATGTGTCTGGTGCTAATTGTGGAAATGGCTCATGGTCTTTTGGTGAAAACAAACAAAAATTCTACAATCGCAAAAATCTCACGCTCACGAATGTGTGCTTAGTGTTTTCTTCAGAGGGTCATTTCATTTTTGGCCAAACGCCACCACATGCAAAGGAGGCGAACAACTTGCTCAAAGGGTTTAAATTATTTGACAATCAATTTTGAAAGCGAACCACTCCAGCTGAAAACGTAACAAGTGGTGTAATTTTGGTCCCCAGTTGAACCGAGTTTACCGGACTATCGGGTGATGGAATACTCTCATATTCCTCTCTCTTTAATGTCATACTCTGAAATTAAACCCTGCAGACTTCTTGTTTCAGAAGTCTCCCAATCAGTAAATAGAGTCTGTGTTGTTGCAGTTTATTTCAATATAAATGCAGCTGTTCAGTGAAGGCCTCAGAGGTCTGTTAGAGAACATGGGAAACAACATCATGGAGAACAAAGAAGAAAGTAGACAAGTCAGGAAGAAAGTTGTAGGGGCATCTAAAGTAGGGCTAGGTTTTAGGATAACTTCCCAGGTTTTTGAGTTGTCTCTATATCATCCAAAAATATAACGCTGACTTAACAAGACAGACCTAAAGCAACGGGCCATGTACATTGGTCATTGATCTTTGATCATGCTTTGGACCTTTTGGACAGAGTTGGTTGAAAAACAAATGGAGCTCAACAGTCAAGCTGGAAATGCATGGTTTTGGTGTCATTATGCTGTGGGAGTACTTTAGTTGAGGTGGGTTGTAGTTGAAGGGAAGATGAATTGAGCTAAATACATGGCAATGCTGGGAAGAATACATGTTGGAGGCTGTCAAAGACTTCAAAGTGGGAGATTCATAACCCTAAATATACAGCCAGAAGCCCAACAGGATGATTTAGATCAAAGCAGAACCAAGAGTTTAAATCTCCCAGACCTAAATCCAATTGAGAGCCACAGACGCTCTCCATCTCATCTGACTGAGCTGGAATATTTTGTCTGGAACGCAACTCTACACCCGGAAAATTTGAATTTGTGTGTGTAGTTTGACAGAATGTGAAAAAGGTTTCAAGGTATTTGTCAAGGAAGAACTAATGACCTTTCCTTGCACCTGACTCAAAATTATTTTCTGTTTCTTTTCATTTCCTTCTGAATGGTTTACAGTGATATACATAGTTCCTAACTCCTCATACTTCACATTAGCATTCCTTCATTCTTTATAATTTTGTGATGTTCTGGTCAAAAGGTCATATCAGTCCTCCCACCGATTTGCTGTATCCACTGGGTCACATTTGTCCCCAATCTGAACTTGTTTCCTACAGCTACAAATTTAAAGCAATGAATGCTCCTTTCAAAAATAACACAAGATGAGGGATCACACAGCTTTTCTGGTGATGCATAGTTACAATAACCACTTCTCATAAATCATGACCATATCATTTGACTGAAAGATTTGCTTAACTCTGAGAAGTGTCTGCAGATCGACGTGAATTTATGTCACAGGAGGAACCGCTCTCACTCACCATAACACATGGCTGTCATCACAGAGGTCCAAAAACTGCAGGAATACTAGTCAGAGCTCATGCTGAGCTGTGTTTCTGGTCTTTAAAAAAAATAGCAGAAGGAGTACACATAATCAGGCATGGAATCACTGAGTAATTTTGGGGACTGCTGATCTGGTGTGAATTGCATTTGCAGAGCAACTTCGGTGAAGTCTCACAGAAAGGTGTTCAAGCTCTGCAGCATAAATTTTTACTGAGAGCCCTGCTGCAAAGCCTCAAGAAATTTCTGGTATCAATCACCACTTCCTTTATGTGTTAATTTTTTTATTACTTATTAATTTTCCAGGCACTCCTGAAGGACCCCCTCTACATCGGACTGAGGCATAAGAGAGTCCGAGGCCAGGCCTACGATGACCTGATCGATGAATTTATGAAAGCCGTTTCGGCCAGGTACGATGACCGCACTGACCCTTCCAGCCATCATTTGCCCACTTCCTTTTTTTTGTCTGCTATCGTCATTTCAGGCCAGTAATCGCACAGGGCCCTTAAAAGAAAAATGTTAAGCAGTTTAGCATGCAAAGTGGCCAGCTGTTGCAGGATTCAGAGGTCTGGAGTTTACCTCAACATTAATTCAGTTTTACCTCCTTTCAAGCAATTTGACTTTCTGGTTGCCAAATGTTTTTATTCGTCACTGTTTTGTCAATCTCGGATGACGATGGGATAATTTTGTGGAAGACTGGAAACAGGGTTTTAGTTGTAGTTTAACACAACAGACAAATTAAATACAGTGTTGACATTTGATACCAATATAATTATCTTACATAAGATAGCACCCTTTTGGTGTGAACTCCAGTTGACTTGCCTTGAAAGTCAGATGCATTTGGGGAGATGTAGCCTAGCCATTGCCTTCCTGGATAATTCCTCTCAATTAATTTCCCTTCTTAATTCTACGTCTGCGCTTTCTCCCATTGACTTGGAAAGGAGGAACAAGTTGCTCCAGGGGTTTGGTTTGGTTGACACAGTGCAGTGTGAATGTGAACCACACCAGCCAAAAATTTAACAAGGTTGCAGTTTTGATCCCTATTCAAACTGAGTCTCCTGGACTTGTGGATTCCCTTTAGCGCTGATACTTTCTTTAACTTGGAGAATCCCGAAAGACTGTTAGCACGTTAAAGACAAAAGTTGAGGCTTAAATAGTTAAGAGTTCTGTAAAAAAAAAAACTTTATTGAACTGGATTAGGCCTTCCTGATACCTGCTGAATTTTTTGCTCTCTCTCTAAATGGACGACAGACATTACAGCAAGTTTCTTTCAAAAGGCTTTTTACACCTGTGACTTCAGTTTAAACACCACAGCGATACTGAAAATAGCTACCGTTGAGTCCTCGTCATTCATTAACTCCCTCACTGAAGAGTGTTTTGAGGATGCTAGAGCTGGAATACAGAAGGGTAAGGGCACCTTTATTTTGTTGTTTTCTTCTGCTTGTCCTGGTAACAGGATCCAGGAAAAGTACTTAAAACCCCTTCCAGTCAAATAACATATGTAATGTTGTTGTATAATGCCATGTTAATGCATAAAAATGTTTTATATTGCTCATTGTTTCTTCTTTAACTAGACTGCAGAAGCCTCTGTTAAAGTTTACTGCTTGGACGTGTTGCTTATTTGGTTGACTCTCATCTGAGCTGTCCCTTCCTTTGAGGAGCAGGAATTGTTTGAGACAGATTGACTCTGGTTGGTCTGATTATTACCCTGTGTGTTTCCTGCAGTCATGTTTCTGATTAGAACCTTCGTACATTCTTCCCCCGCGTGCCATCATGTCTGTGCCCATGTGCCACGAAGCCATGCGTGCACACACATTGGCCTGGTTAAGCCTCATCCTCAACCCACAGAGACTGTAGTCCAGGGAGAGAAGTCTGGGTCTGGGTCTGCTCCAGCTGGCAACAGGAAACCATGACTTTAATAACCGGGTAGCTTCCCAAATGCAGGGAACAGAGTTGCCTCTTTTTTTCTTCTTTTTCTCCCCATCGGAGCCAGATTGGCGGAAAATGAATAATTATGGGCTCAGACATTCAATGAATGATTACAGCTCCAAAGTAATATTCACGTTCAGTTTTCTAAGAATCTAAACAGAGCTAAAACACTCCACACTGAGTCATCATCGATGAGCAGAAGTCTGGGACAAAGTGAGTTTTAGACTTTCAGTCAAAACCGCCCCTTGCTAAGGGGAATCGATTCGTGATGCAGTCTCGTGTTTGGTTTAAGACCGTCCAGCTTAACTCCTGAGTTTTCACAATGATCCCAGTAACATGACTGCACACACTCACTCACACACTTACATTTTTGTTTACATTTTACAAAATGTAAACAAAAATGGAGAAGTGTCAGATTTTAGAAGTTGTAGCATTTCTCTTCCTTTTGGTAAAATTAGTGCCAGACACACACTACTTTGTTTTGGTTATATTTACCCAGAATACCCTGCATCATAGTCCGTTTCCTGCTTTTGGCGGCCTCCAGTCCACTTGGCCTTCATGCATTCAAATAGCCTCAAAGTTCATTTTAAATGAACCAAAACCCAGGTTTTTATGAGGACCAGAGTTCAGAGTTTGGTTCTGCATTCACGCTTTCCCAAAACGAACCAAACCGTTGAGGCAAGCAAGATGGATTAAAACCGACCAAACCGAACTTGTGTGAACTCACCCTTAGTTTGTCCAGAAACCTGAAGTCTTTCAAAACCAAACAACCCAGTTAATTTTATTTTATTTTTTTAATGGTTGGTGATCCGAGACAGTTCCTGTACAAGGCTTGTTGGCATACAAATAGTACAGGAATGCTATCAGCTGTTTTAAAACTCTTGGCACTGAAAAAAAGTGAGAACCAGGCAGACAGGCCGATGGAGGCAGCAACAGAAAGGGAGAGAAAGAATGTGTTTTTTTTTCTTTTCATTTTTTTCTTTTTAATGATGGGCTCAGGGATTTGAGAAATAATGTGTGCTGAGAGATGCTGGCTCTCTGGAGAACAGGAGTGGGCTGGGGATTTATTAAGGCCTCCTCCACAAAACCCCTTAGGGACAAAGGTAACACACATCCTATGAATGTGTGTGTGTGTGTGTGTGAACGCCAATGCTCGGATATACACACAGATTCAACAGCTGTGTTTGGACAGAGTGCCCTTGTCTGTGACCTTTGTTTTGGTCGTCCTGGGCTCTCCGGCCCTGGTGAAGGCACTCCTGCTAAACGAATCGGTTCGTACCTCCTCATCAGTTTCCAGTCTCTGCACTGGAAGGAAAAGTAACATGCGTCGCGCTACTTCCCTCTAGCAGCACATTTCAGCTGTAATAACAGCAGATTGAGTTTCTTGAAAGAGTCACTTATCACATCTATAGGAACCTAAATGAGAACCATAGACTAAACAAACACATGGAAATGAGGAATGTTTGCTTTGTCATATCGTTCCATCAACCATCTGCAATTATCTCCAGTAGGTCTTGATGAGATTCTTAAAGTCGGCTAAAAGATCTCCTAAGACAAGTGCAGCAGTCTTAATAACATTTTTGCAAACCCTGGCTTCTGTTCAACATATCCTTGTGGTGACTCATAAATCACAGGAAGGTAAAAGTTGAAGGCAAAAACAGTCTTGTGTTGTTTTGGTGAAATGGCTCAGATTGCTTTGACAGACTACTGTTTTCCCCCGCCGCCCCATATTGGTTTCAATACTTTGAGGTTCTGTTGTTCAAATTTCTTCAACACACGCAGATTATCTGTCCCGTATTATATGACATAGTGACATTTTTAAATAATATCTAAAAAAGTGTTTTTAATATAATTATATATAAAACTTGCATACCCCAGCTTTGAAAGAAGACGTATGCAGATGAAGTTTGCATTTTTTTAAATTGACAATCTATAAAGTGGGAATGATAATCTGAATAAGATGGTTGTCCAAAACAGATTTAAATCACCCATTGTTGCACATTAACAGTTTTTTTCTGCATCAGTAGCTGTTTCTATTTCATATTGCGCACAACTTTGTCAGTATTTCACGAATGTTGAAAAATCACAATTTCACAGGTACAGTGGTTTCATTAAGTAAGAAGTGCCTTTGAAATCAAATGTGAATAAGCTTGTTCACACGGTGAGTTGTTAAAAAACTTGTCAAGCCATCCTCCTCCTACCACTTCCTGTCATCGACTTCTTCGTGGTTTGCGCCAGTGGTAACATCCGGTTTTTGATCATGTGATTTGCGTGATGCGAAAAAAGTGTTTCCGTTGCAGTTTTGCGAAATGAACCATTTTCGATAGGCAAAAAAAAAAAATAACTCACATAGAGCCAGTGATGGTATAGTTACTTTGAAAACGTAGCTTTAATCGGATTACTGATTACTCCTTGAAAAAGTAACTTGGTTAGATTACTGATTGCTTGATTTGGAAAGTTACTAGGTTACATTAAAAGTAACGTTTTTAGTTACTTTCAGCAGCTGTGAACAACAGCAACGCTCCACCACCTGTGAAAATGACATTGATCTTTGCCAATACTTAATTGCAAGTTATTTTATAATTGTAAAATCAACAATGAGTCTCCACTGATAAGGTTAACCTCAAGGGGAGATCGTTTCATGGTTACATGAACTCTTTAGTAATTTGTGCGTGTTTTTTCCAATGTTGCCTGGAAAACTATAAATTTAGTTTAGTTTTCTTTTACGGACTCATTCATTAGTGGCTGTTTTCACGTTTATTGCGATGTTCATATTAGTCTCGACATTTTCAGTTTTCTGGAGCACATCGCGTAGGTCGACGTCATTCAGCGGTAACATATTATCTTCACATTAACAAAGACACAGCGGGACGGATCATCCGGGAAATGATGGACAGGGAGAGTCTGACTAAAACCAACTGGATGTTAGACAAATTCTGGGGTTTATGTCGGCTTATTTCCAAGCCCAAAAACCGCAACCCACGACTCATTGAATCTGCAAATGATTTTAGAAAAAAACAAGCCCAAAGCCGCTTATAATGATCAAACTTGGCGAGCAAAACTCAAAGTACTTCCTGTTTTTCCAGCAATAAAATGCGCATCTCCCTCTTCCGCCATTGTTTATGTTTCTGTTGCTGCTGATACTGTCGCATAGAAACGGCAGTCATTCACTAGAGAAAATGAAATGCACAGTAACGCAAATTGATTTGAATACGTAACTGTAGACTCACTACTGGATTTGAAATAGCAACGCGTTAGATCATTCGTGCCCCTACGTCAGTAACACATTACTGCATAGGGCCCAATTACTTTAGTCAAAAAAAAACTATTGCTTTTTTGTATTGTTTTTTTAATTGCTGTGGTACCATTTGACAATTTTATTTTCAAAATGCTAAGTTACACAATTTTATGGTCAATGATCACAAATCCACCTTTTCCTTTAGTGCTTACGGTAGTTGAGTGCAAGCTCTGCTGCTCAGGGATTAGTTTGCTTCTTAGAGCATGGTCAGGAATAATACTAAGCCATTTAAATCTGGGTGTGCCTCGGCCTGGGTAGGTTTCTGCCCATACTTCTTCACTAAGAACATGAAGCAAATCATGTCTTTCCATCTTTGTCGTTTTCTTTAATTGAGTTGCCGTGGGAACACGCTGGGACTTTACGAGGTCCCTGGGGGTCCAGTGAAAGTTACAGCCGCAAAACAAAGACACCGATCGCTGAACAGAAGCTTCGTTTTGCCACAGAAAAAACAACCTCACACACATTGTTAAAAAATAAAATAAAATAAAACACAGAACAAGAACCCTATCTTTATTGGTGCGTACATCGGATCGAAGCGCCTCAGCAGAGAGGCAATGTTCCTTTGTTTAACACCACAATCATAGATATCCACTCTGCAATTTGTGGTCACCGAAAGCTCATAAGTATGCATGCGTTTATTTTATGTTCAATCTAAGAGGCAATTAGGGTTAACGCTAAAATGTCTATTTCGAGCTTAAGTTAAAAGAAAAGCAGCTCGGTCTTTTCCCAGCGAGCGGCCCGAGCAGCAGCAGACCAATGCAGCTCTCCTCCGAGTCAACCCAAGCCAGCCTGTGAACTTGCGTGACCTCTCACTCACGCCGTTTTCCTTGGCAATAGGGCAGTGCCCGCATCCACCCCGCGCCGGTCGCCCGTCTCCTTGTCCTCGAGCCGAAACACAATGAAATGTTTATAGCTCCCATTTTTGGCCTCATAATTCCTCGTCTTTGTTGCCGTCTCCCAGCAGCGCTGCGTCTCTGATAGAAAACACATTTCTCTCGCGTCGGCGCTGCTCCGGTGTTGGCGGGAAGCTTGTGCCGCCGTCAGCGTCTGCGCAGGCGCGTCCAGTGTCCTGCTGTGAGTCACGGGACAGAAATCTTTCAACAGGACGTAAAGTTTTATTGCATCTGAAATTTATCATTTGTTTTTTTTGATTTTCACTTCCGCCCAGCTCTTTGCAAACCTAAGCGGTTCTGCAGTTGCCGTAACAAGTGGGAAACCGCTTTGCAGAGCTGTTCAATGACGGTGCTTTGCTCACAGAGGACCCAGGGAAGCAAAGGAGAGCAGAATACCTGGAAACAGTAAGGAAAGGATGGCTGAAAACAAGCACCTCCCTCTGTTATCCAGTGTCTCTGTCCTGGAAGTTGATGTTTACCCAGCCTGTCCCCAATTTCCTCCGTCGCTCTGTCACTGGAACAGAAGTTGTGTTTTCTTAAATTTCCAGTTCAGATGAACCTTCTCCTTTTTTCTTTCCACGGCCTCGTTTCAAACAGTTCAGAGCAGAATTTGCCCCTGAACTTCTGCACAGAAACCTCCCCACTCCCACTCTGGTCCTGCCACTGCCGTGTGGAGGCGATGTGTTCAGTGTGCTGTGCAGTGTTAGTTTCCTGCCAGTACAATGAGGCTTGTTTGCCTTCTTAAAAAAAAAAAACAGATATTTTTAAAAACAACAACCTTTAAACAAGTATTAAACTTTGCTTTTCGGCAGGCCCGTTTTTCTGCATTATGATTTCTGATGTCACTTTCTAATCCTAAATGTCACATTTTCATGATCTGTTAACAGAAACTAATTATAATGAACAAAAATGAAAACTAATTAATTTCTAACTGTTTCACTTTGTGAATTTACTGAAATAAATGAACTTTTTCAGTAATTATTAAACATGGCTGCACTTGGTCCTGCTTCATTTTCCAATTCTACATTATAGAGAAGACGGAAAAAGAAAAGTCACAAACTGTTTCCTTCCAGAATGAAGCACTACGCCGTTTCGGTTCGTCTGCTGTCAAGCAGCAGCCGCCATTCTTACTGTTAAAATCAGTTCTGGTGGTTCTGACAGACCCACTCTGTCGTCTTCATATCAGTATATTCATATGTAGAATAACTTTTGAATATTAAACTTCTCTGTTGTAGAAGTTGCAGTTTGTTGACACCATTGACCTGTTTGTAAGAATGAGGCAGAACAAAATTGTTCCTATTAACACAATGTTTGCCTTTAAAAATGACAGTACATTGTCATCTTCCTAAAGTATCATCCTAAGTAATTTTTTGTTGAATGTATTTTTTTTTGACTGACATACAAAAACAAAACAGACCTTGGTCATTATTTCAGGAGAATGTTACAGAAAAGGCTAAAGGATGTGAAGAATGACATGAAACAAAGACGAGAATCATTTTGTTTCCTGTTTCAACAGAGGAGAAACTTCTTTGTCACGAGTCCAGATGCAAACCTTGTAGTGCTGGGCTTAAGTTTTGCTAAGAGATGTGGCTCTTTGAGGAGCCTACAGGTGTTGTCTGGGTAGTATAGGTGGTCTAAGCAGCAGCTTGTAAAACCGAACACCGCTGGTTTACTGCTTTTGGCTCTTTCCCCTGAAATTAGATGTTTGTTGCCCTTTTTTTATTGGGTGTTTGAGCTCCCTCGTTAAAACTCCTAAAATCACATGGGGGCACGCAGGTGGAAAATGTTCTATTGCCTTTTTCTCCACAAAGCTTCATTTTCAATTAGCAGCTAAAGGTCCACACTTCCTCTCATCTGCTTGAGAGGAAGTGTTGAGCGGCCGCTCCTCCCTCTGAGCCGAGTTACACCTCGTGAATGCGTTTTGTTTTCTCCCACTGCGTCGGTTCAGCAATGAACAAAATGCATGTCTTCTGCTTGCAGGTACGGCATGGAGTGTCTGATTCATTTTGAGGACTTTGCAAACATCAACGCTTTTCGACTGCTGAGCAAGTACCGCAACAAATACTGCACATTCAACGACGACATCCAAGGTAACCGGGGGAGCCGTTCACCCAACACCAACAGAGTGTCAGGAGTTCTGGTTTAAAATGGTGAATGAAGAGGAAAAAGTGAGGTTAAAGCAGCGGAAAAGAAGAACGACGGAACCAACCAGAGGAGCAACAGCACATTAGACTGTCACGGCTTTTATCAAGAGCCACTGTAAAAGGCTTTTGGTAAAAGCCGTCCAGTGGAAAAGAAAGAAAATGCATTTGGCAGATTTTTACATATGCAGTTTTTTTCCTACTATTTCACTTTGACTCAAACTCATCTGTGCTTGTTTTACATCAAGTCAGGACAACCAAAATGCTTTCTATCCAATAATTGGCAGAATATTGGCGGACAGAATTTTAGAAACTGCATCAACGATTCCTTCAAATTTAGAAATCCACATGGACTAAGTTTACCATGTCTAGGCCTGTCGCAATAGCAAATTTTGATGGACAATAAATTGTCGCCAGACGTTATGGAGACAAACGATGTTATTGTTGTTTTGAGACCATCTTCAAGTAATATAACTTGAAGATAATAACACAAGAACATGTTCTCAAAGTTCAATAAACTTTAAACTCTATTCAACATTTAACACTGGAATTGGAAGACATTTTAAGTATCTCAACAAACAACAGAAATAAGAAATAAAATGAATGATAAACAAAAGTGTTCTTCAAACAAAACAAAAAAAAGGTCTAGTTGAGACTAAAACACCAGACTGAAGATTTGTCATCCAGTTTTAGGTAGAAAAAGAGAAAACGATAAATTATTGAGTTTATTTTTAATTTATTATAAGATTAATTAATTTACTGCTTATTACGACCGCCTTAACTGCGTGATATAGTCTTCTGTCTGTCACGATGGTGTGTTGCTGTCATGACTTCGGAAAACTGCTGATTACACAACGTTTAAGGTGGTCAAAGACACACGTGTGTGTGTGTCTGGACACTGCTTCCTTGTGTGGCATCAAAGAAAAATAAAAAAAAGCAATTGACAAAATATGAGGAGCAGAATTGTGAACCTTCAGAGGTTTGGTTCACCAAGGGCTTCCATTTGAGGATCCCTGAAGATGCTATATTCATCATGTAGACAGGCACAAATATGGCCGCCTGGCATGTGTTCATCCGCATTAAAATGGTTTATTTTATCGCTGAGAAGAAGGGACACTTATAGAGGAAGAAGCTATAACTACAAAAGCAATATCACAGGTTGAAAAGTCCGACAGAGACAAACGTCAGGATCCATCTTCACCTTCTGAACATTTTTGAATTTAAAAAAGATACAAATGTGGAAACGGGACAATATTTCCACACATTGCTCATCATGGCGGTTTAGCCACAACCTCTACACCGTAGCACCACTGACGTTACGATGTAGAGCAGTAGCAGACCATGGCAGAGAAAAGTTCAGTCTGTTCTGAACGGGAAGGCTGAGACGCCGCAGAACAATAAAGTCAACAGTGAGCCAATAAAATGTCAGAGTGTGGAACATTTTGTTGTTCCTCATGTCATTAATGAGCTTAATGAGGAGCCGAGTCTTCAGCGTTGAACGACAGTCTTTTTTTTTCAGGGTTTTAGCTCAGGACAAAAAGACTTTTACGTATACCATAAGACATGTACGGACGGCATTCGCCCAGAAAGAATCTGCAGCTCTGATCTGCTATTTCTTTATTTCTTTCAAATCCACTCAAAACTCAGTCTTTTAACATGCAGCATCATTAAATACTATAAACTCTGAGTTCAGTGTTAGAAAAGTCTAATTGACTCCGGTCTCTTTCTTTAGGCACAGCAGCTGTCGCAGTAGCGGGACTCTTCTCCGCCCTCCGCATCACCAAAAGCAAAATGAGCAGCCACACCATTGTGTTCCAAGGGGCAGGAGAGGTTTGTGCATCAGCCATACCAATAAAATAGAAAAATCATGGTCTGGTCTCTAATAGGACCGATGTGTGTCACACGTTTTGAAGCCAGAACTTTCAGAGTAAAAATAAAGTTGCGTCTGTTCTTTTTTTTTTTTTTTTTTTTTTCTTTTTTTTCCTTTTGTCCTTTTCTCTCCCCTTCTTTCTCTGCTGTTTCCAGGCAGCGATGGGAATCGCCGAGCTCATCTCCTCCGCAATGGAGAAGGAGGGACTCGGCAAAGAAGAATGCTTGAAAAAAATCTGGATGGTTGACTCAAAGGGACTCATCGTCAAGGTGTCTTAGTAGGCCTGAAAAGACACACGCAAACTAAACCGAACACAACAAAGGGAGAAATTTATATGTACAATGATTTGCCTTGGCTAATTGTGTTTCCAATCCAAAGTCTTCACATGTTCATATTCACTTAGGAGACTTGTGGTCCTTGGTTCATGTTGCACTGGAGAGGTTTTTTTTTACTTTCACATTTTAGCTTAAGAAAATCCACTTGAGTTGCTATTTATTTTCTCACAGCAGTGACCAACGCAAAGGTTGTGCTGTTAGAAAACGTTAATGGGGAGGTTTTATGTGTTTTTATAGCACAATCATTAGACTATTGCCTTCAGTTGTTAAAAAATATATTAAATATGACTTAAAATGAATTTTACTTTGCAATTTAAAGCCTTTAAATTGGGACTCTCTCTTTAAAAGCGCCGCCTCTTTCTGAATCTTCGCCTTCAGGATGTTGTCACAACATAGTTCCTCTATTAACCCTTTAACAAAGTTTTCACCAGCATTTCACTGAAAAGTTGCTCCTATAATGAGCTCAGAGCTCAGCAGGTGTTTGCTAATTGCTTCTGGCTAGTCTGAAGGAGCTGAGTGGCGGAGAGGGAGGGCCGCTCTGTGAGGCAGAAGCTACGAAGCTCAGAAGCTGCAGCTTTCAGGAGGAGCTTTGTCTCGAAGGCGGGGCTAGGTTCACCCAGGCGTTTTTCACAGCTGATTGGTTATCAAGGGAGGTCAAAGGATTTCTCAAATATGCACAAAAGAATCGAAGCCACAGTCCACGTATGTTTTTAATGGAAGAATAACACTATGAGATGAAGAAAAGCTCAAAAAAGTGGGTTCTTACATAACACTGCCCCTTTAAGAAATGTAATTTTGGAACTTTTAAGAGCAAAATTTTGAATCCTGGTTTTCACTTTGAACTTTCCCTTGGTTTGGACGAATGATTAAAGGTTCTTGGGAGAGTTTAGAAAACATGGTGGCACTATAGGTTAGAGAACTATAGGTTACTTTACCTGCCTGGAAGATTTTGTATGTTCAAATATTCAGGAAGGATATTCAGGGTATTTTGTGCATTTCAAACCAACATAGCAGGCTTGTGACCATTTTTAGAAAAGATGCAGATTAATCATATTTTTCCGATGAGTAATGTTCCTTTTTTTTTTCTTTGATATTTTAAAACTTCATCCCCTCACTCGGCATCCTCAGGGCCGAGACAACCTGACCCACGAGAAGGAGCAATTCGCCCATGAGCATCCTCAGATGAGAAACCTGGAGGACGTGGTCAGGGATCTGAAACCCACAGCCATCATTGGTGAGCAACACTTCTGTTCATGTTGTCAGACATTGGCAGATCGTTTCCAGACACGGTTCAGTACCCCCACTGAACTTCAGCGTTCTTGAATCTCAGGTGTTGCCGCTGTTCCCGGAGCTTTCTCTGAGCAGATCATCAGGGACATGGCTTCCTTCAATGAACGACCAATCATCCTCGCCCTCAGCAATCCAACAAGCAAAGCCGAGTGCACTGCTGAGCAATGCTACACATTCACAGAGGTACGCAGTGCTGCACTGTGGTTAGAGCTCCAATTCTTATTTATTTTATGTGCCATTAATAGCCATTAGATATTTATAGTAGGAGTATCGGGAGCTACACACTGCTGTGTGATTGGATGGGCTATGTAAAACATTGTGTAACTATTATTTTAAAAACAAACAAAAATTATTATGAATTTTAAATTTTAAACAAGCTTTTGTGTTTCATGTTGGTTGTTACTGTAGTTTAGTAAAGTAGGCATTTCTAAATCAGCAGTCTCATCGTGTTTATTTCTAAAAGTATAAAGGCATACCTTAATAGTAGGGTATGCCCTTTTTTTTCTTCTTTCTTTTTTTTTCTTCTTTCGATACATTCAGTGACCGAAGGAGACTAGAAGTTCGCAAGGATAGACCAGAGACTGTTCTCCACTCAGCCTTTCAGTTTTCTGCTGAAAGTCTTGCTCTCTCTCACTCTATCGCAGCCTGGATCAACTGTTCTTCTAAATAGCTTCTAACGCCTTTGCTCTTCCACCGAGTTCATTTTAAACACCTCACTGTTACAGGAAATGGATAAAATAGCAAACTGTGAGAAACAACTTCCACACCAAAAAGTGCTGCTGCTGTTGCTGCCGCCACCAGATTTGTCTTGGAAATAAAAAAAAAACAAGAAATAAAAAGCAGAGCAGGGCTAAAAATGTTGGTCTTGTCAATTTTTAGTTTTCATTTTACAACTCAGCATGTTTATAAAATATAATCATCAAACTTTGTGAAGATTTTTGCTTTTTGTAGTTTTGGAAGCAGCACAACTATGACTTTTTTGTTTTTGTTTTTAATCATGGTTTTATTTCCATGGTCATCTTAAGTGTGATTTCATCGAGCTAGCTTATAATTATGACTTTTGCGATAAAGCTTAGTTTAACCACATTTAAATCCTTGGAAATAAGACAAATAGCTGATTTCTCAGTGCACATATATATATATATATATATATATATATACACACTACCGTTCAAAAGTTTGGGGTGACATTAAAATGTCACTAAAAGCACTGTACTTTTCAATGAAAATAACTCTAAACCAGTCCTAACTTTAAAGAAATACTCTCTATACATTGCTAATATGGTAAATGACTATTCTAGCTAAAAATGTCTGGTTTTTGGTTCAATATCTACATAGGTGTATAGAGGCCCATTTCCAGCAACTATCACTCCAGTGTTCTAATGGTACAATGTGATTGCTCATTGGCTCAGAAGGCTAATTGATGTTTCAAAAAACTCTTGTGCAACCATGTGCACACATCTGAAAACAGTTTAGCTCCTCACAGAAGCTACAGTACTGAATGGGGTGACCCCAAACTTTTGAACGGTAGTGTATATATATATATATATATATATATATATATATATATATATATATATATATATATTATAAGTAGAGAAATGTGCAGTCCTTGGCACAGCCAAGATACTGCTGCGCAGGACCCTCAAGCTCCCGGGCCTCTGGTAGAGGACCCGAGTTCAGAGGATAAGAACCAGAAGGGAATAATATAATATGTATATGTATAGTGGTTTATACATGTCTATAATGAGGCCGAGAGGTTAACTTGCATTATATTGAACTCCCTCTTGCTGCAGGGCCGTGGCATCTTCGCCAGCGGCAGTCCATTTGGCGCCGTCACCCTGCCTGATGGGAGGACGTTCTATCCCGGCCAGGGCAACAACGCCTACATCTTCCCCGGCATGGCCCTGGGCGTCACTGCGTGTTCCTTGCGACACATCACCCAGGATGTCTTCCTGACCACTGCAGAGGTGATGCACGAACGGTTGTAGATGTCAAGGCTAAACTGAATGATGAGCGCTCACACAGAGGATTCAGAGATGGGCTGAGCTATTATGCCGCATCATGTGAAAGTGTAATGAGTCGGACTTCAGAATGTGATGAAACTTTGTTAAAATGGCTTTACGTCGTGAAATTCTTTGAATGCATTTTTTTTTCCTTCTTTCTGCATTTATTTAGGATGTAACAGCATTCCATTTTGTGCAAAATGTGGAGGTCACTCATTTTTGTTAGAAGCGATGATGGAATGTAATAATAAACAATCATAAACATCTTAATAATTACACTCCTCATAACGATCATGTTGCAGATTTCAGTTGAAACTTTGGTCAATAAACACTGAGGTTTTGGTGTTTTAGGTGTCTTTTCAGACTCATCATCAGAACTCTACCTTAAAATACATCACTGTGTGTTATTGCATAACGTGGCTTTAATGTTGTTTTACTACATACTCCTTGTATCGTTACATTGCTACATAATGCAATGAGGCATTACATAATGAGACAAATCATTTCACAATATTGTAGCTTAAAATCCTGAAATTACACTAGATGTTTTTTTGTTGTTTTTTTTGCAATTATCAAAAAAATAAAAAATAAAAAACAGGTATCTCATCTCATCACTACGAGACGAGATGTCGCAAAAAACAACGCGTTGAAAAAGTTGTGTGTTTTGATTGTTTTGCCTTGAATGACATGTGGGTTTAAGAGTGAGTGTCTGCAACTGAAAGTTTGCATTTATTTATTTATTGATCAAAGTTTAAAATCCATAACCTAATTCGTGATTATTCTTAGAAGCATATTGATTAAGACGAACACAAGCAAAGGATCATGTCCTCTATCTGGCCATATTGTTATGCTTTTAAAATAGCAACCACTGTATTTTCAATAATCGGTTCAAAATATTATAACATTATTACATAACGCGGCAGAAAGTATTACAAAATGCGTTCAAGAATTTTTTGTTTTCTTACCTTTTTCGTCTGTCGGATAATTTGGCATTATTAGATTCTGAAGTCAATTCTTCGTTACCTTGCTGAAAGAACAAAGCCATTCCACAAACAGTTTATTATCGAGCATCGCTGGTTAATGAACATCCTTACTCTTGGAAAATGAAAATCAGTCAATAATGAAAGTGATGGTTCTCCATGGGAGTCTCTGAATACCAGCGACAGAATATCAGACGTTCTGTGTCTTTAAATGGCACATCTCTAGTTGTCTCCTAATTACAACCTCTTCTCTCATAATTACAAGATCCGGGTCTAGTAATTATGAGATAAGATGCCTATTTTTTTATTTTTTTCCCCATAAACGTTTATATAGGTTCTGGATAATCTTAAAACGAAAGCAATTCCTCCTAGTAGCTCGATTGGCTTCTTTACGCTGACATAAGCGGTTTGTTGCAGGCGCTTGCTGACCAGGTGACTGACGAGGATCTCGCCGAGGGAAGACTCTATCCTCCTCTCCGCTCCATGAGGAAGGTTTCTCTTAAACTGGCTGCTAAGGTGAGACCCTCAGCACCATGTTACATCCAACATGCGAACACAGCAAGAAGTATCGCTCCATCCCGAAACCCTCTCAACAATTTCCGTTTACAGATCATGGATTACGCTTACCACCACAAAATGGCCACTCTCCACCCCGAGCCGTCCGACAAAGAAGCGCACCTTCGCTCGATCTGCTATAGCACCGACTACGACGACTTCACCTTTGACTCGTACCAGTGGCCAGAGGACTGCACAGCTGTGCAGACGTGCAAACTTTGATGTTCTGTACACAGAAACCAAAAGAAGCACCAAAAATCAAAAAAAGCCCTTAAAGGGGATTATTACCACTGACGTGCAAAGTTATCCAAGGATTGAGAGTTGGGATGTAAAAGATGTGTGCATAACCTTCCCTTTGATCATATTAATGTACTTTAAATTAATCAAAGACAACTCGAGCTTTATTGGTTTGCATTATGAAATATTGCGTCTGTTGCTGTCACCACTTTGTTTTACATAGAGGGTGATGTTATGGTGTAACTTTTTAATCGTACTGTAATAGTTATTTTATGACTGTGTCGGCTAAAATCCAGACACTTTGCCAAATTAATAAAAAGTTTTGGATTAAACGCTCTCTGGTCAGTTTAATGCTCTCAGAGTTATGGAGGCTCATTTTTAACCTCTATAACTTTTATGATTTCTTCTGCTGGAAGAAATCATGAAAAAGTCCAGGATTTCCCCCTGATGGTCTCAGACGTGTGGATGATGTTTTGGCTCCCTCCAGTGGTCAGTTGATGTCATTGTGACATATGGATTGCCACAACCGAGGCACTCACTCCACATGTGATTTCATGTAACTGTGCGTTCAGCAATTTTACCAAAACTAATATTCTCTTCTCAGGTTTAATAATAAAGTAAATTAAACCAAGGCCTTAGAAAAGCACAAGCAACATGAGTAAAATGAAAGACAAACGGACTCAGCAGTTCGTCTGCTGCGTCCGTTTGTGATCGTATATTGTGGGGTGTGGGTTAAACTGTGGAGACGGGGGGGCAGACTAACGTTATTTAATCGATCAATAACTAGTCAAACAGTCTGTGGGCTACCAGAGGCCTGGGCTGGCCTACTAGCCAGGCCCGTCTGAAGCAAACAGACCAGTCAGCATCCAGTGCTTGGCGTCCCTCCTCAGGCAATGCACTCAGAGCCGTTCGGTCCTCCCAAGTCCTTCCGTTCGCTCAGCCACTAAATCCCCCATTTTGGCCTTAGGGAACCCCAGTTCTGCCCTGATGATCAATATGTCTCAATGTCGGCACCATCCAGGGGCCAGTTTAAGTGTGCAGGCTGCAGACGGTTTTGATCCTTTGCCAGTATTCATCAGAAACACTCTCACCAGATTTAAGTATTTTTGCGCATTTGTGTAGAAAGCTGAGCGACTGTCACATTTTTCACAGCTCAGATTCTCAGAGATTTTTAGCTATTGTTGCTGTTGGCCTAAGTAGTTGATCGCATTAAATATTCGGCATTAAAAATGTTTAAGCCGAGGAATGAATGTACCTCGACCTCACAAAAGTTAACACTTGTTTTGAAACAGCGCTCCGGTTTTATCCAGACGCAGCTAGTTTAGCAGCGTTAGCGCTAACCAGCGCTAACGCTGGTTAGCGAGCTCAGGCTAGCTAAGCCAGTCATTCTCAGTACATCCTGGCTGTGGTTGTCTGGGAAACTGTTAAAATGCCAGCTAATTGAAATAGACGTAATAGATTTTCGTAACATTTTTAAGATTCAATCACAAGCGAGTTTTAGATTTTTTGTTTGTTTTCTTGTTAGATGAGCAAAATTGCCCTGAAAAATAAGTTAAAAGTTTACAGTCGTTGAGCTGTAAACTGTGAGCTGCACTGACAATTGCTGCTCACATTGATTGATCAAAATCTACTGATATACAATGTAGGTGGTTTTGTAAATGTACCTCTAGAAAGAAACAAAATGTTATTTTCCCTATTTTGCATGCAGATTTAGTAGAACACCCCTAAAAGAAAATATAGCTCTACATACACTTTACACACAATAAGATAATATTCCAGATCTGCTGCTAAACATTTCAGCTTTTATACTTAATGCCACTCAAAATGGTTGTGATGAAAGGTCCCACCTTATATAGCAGATCACACAAGTTGCTTCATTAACTTGCCCGTAGTTTCAGTCGTTCAGATACGGTGATGGGTTTTCCCATTTATCTCTGTCCACTTTTCAGTAGGAGAAGCAGGATGTTGGTGGAGCGAACGCTGCTTTGCCTGCATGTTTTTCTGAGCTAACTTTAAGCTTCTGCCTGACACATTTTGGCCCCGCCCTGCAGGCCTTTGACACCTCTGAGGTCACAGACAGACAGACTCTGACTGGCATCTGTAACCTTACACCCCTCTGACCTTGTTTGCAGTTTCATTAAATGGCACCTTACTTGGACGTTCTGATTAGTGCTAATCAGTAAACCTCCCCCCACCAAACCCTGAGGCTAGACACAGTGTGACTGTGTCTAGCCGTCCTCCCCGTCCTCTGCCATTTCACATTTCCCTCTCTACGTCCACCAAGCTATGAGACCAGAACAGCCTCCATTGCTTCCAGCGCCAATGATTCGCACGCTCTGTCCTTATTGGTACGGTGAGCTTAGTCTTTTATCTTACTCACCCTACGAAAGTCATTAAACCCTAACAACTCAGAGTTACCTCCCTCAAGTGAAGGAGCACTCTAAGGTTTTGCAAATGCCCAGCAGAGGGCGCACTAACACGTTATTTGAGACGCTCTCAGCTTCCATTGCTGCGTTTGATGCATCTCAGGTTAGAACCACATAGATGCAGTATTAAATAGAGAACATACTGTATTTGAATTTGAAGTTTATGCTTGCGTTCTCACTAAGACCAGGAAGATAGAGACATAACACCAGTTTTGAAGTCCCTCCACTGGCTCCATGTAGCTCAAAGAATAGATTTTAAAATACTGTTGTTAGTTTACAAATCACTGAACGGTTTGGCATCACAATCTGCTGTTGTTGTATCAACCTTCCAGACCTCTCAGGTCTTCTGGTTCTGGTTCTGCTCTGCATCCCCAGAACCAGAACCAAGAGAGGAGAAGCAGCTTTCAGCATCTATGCACCAAATATTTGGAACAAACTTCCAGAAAACTGTAAAACAGCAGAAACCCTGACTTCCTTTAAATCTCAACTAAAAACACACCTGTTTAATTGTATTTGAAACGTAATATGTAACAATGCATTGTCTATTATATGATGCATGACTTTGTGTTCTTGTGTTTATGATGTAGAGCACTTTGAAATGCCTTGCTGCTGTAATGTGCTATACATTTATAAATAAAATGTGATTTGATTTGATTTGATTTATTAAAGACTGCTTTTACTCTCAGGACTGAGTTTTATGGATCAAACAAACCCTCCTGATGATACTGATAACCTGAACTAATGAGACTTATTGGATCATGGAGATGGTGAATAATCACATTAATGTTGCACAGGAGTAAATCTCATATCAGCATTTTAATAATTGCTGCTCAATTAATCACTTTAATCATCACAAATCGATTATTGAAATAACTGATCGGACTCAAAAGATGGCATTTCGCTAAAAGGGGAAAAAAAGATATACTGAAACCAAAAGTGTACAAAATTAGTTGTCTCAAGTTTCATAGTTTTAGCTTCACCTGGTTCAAACTCACTAAAGGAATGCTGCACATTTTAGGCAACAAAGTGTTTATTTTCTCACGTAAAAAGAGAACTTATTTGTTTATTTGAATATATTTCTAACATTGCTTTAAGTACACTGTCAGCTTTTTTGTTTGTTTGTTTTTATTATTATTTTTATCAGTTACTCGTCAGAATAATTGATTACCAAGAAAATGACTTCCAGCCCTAGTGCTTAATAAAGTAAGCGCAACATAAATCAACACTTTTGACACAATTTTAATACATTTCCGAGATACACTCTGGTGTTAATGTTGGCTGTCTTTTTTTTTTTTTTTGTACCTACTTTTTTCTTTTCAGTCTGTGTAGTAACTACACACACACACACACACACATAGCCTATATATATATATACATATGAGAATCTTAACAAAAAGAAGGAAAAAAAGAAAATATTTTTCTGTTTGAAAAAAAAAAACCTCGAGGTTAATCATATGAAACTGTCGACACAAACACCACAAGCCTTGACAAGTAAAGAGAGAGAGGTGATGGTGATGGTGATGGTGATGGTGGTGGAGGGGAAGGAAACTATTTGGATGAAGGTCTTGTGGACGCTTTGTTTCAGCCGCCTTCCATCGGCGGCGGGGATGGTGCAGCTCCTCTCTGTTGTCCGCTGGACAGCGGAGGCTCGCGCTGCCTCAAGGACTCTCTGCGCGTGCCGCTCTCTTCGCTTTTCCTCTCGCGCACAAAGAGCCACGCTCGCGAGAGCCGACGGCTGGAAGAAGCGTATTGATCGTTAAGTGTCACCAGTAAACATGAAAGGAAAGCAGTGCATAACTCGTGTATTTGCCAGAGGACATTAGCGAGCAGAATGTCACTGAGCACTCGTCCAGAAAGCCCTATGATGCAGCACGGTGGTGGCAGTGTCAGACTGTGGGGATGTAAACTAGTCAGTGTTGGTGGGTGGAACAACATTCAGGACGTTTCTGGGATGAAATCTCAACGCTGCAGCATGTAAGCGTCACGAAGATGAATTTTACACATTTATGAAAACTGTCTCTATGTCTTGACAATAAAAGTATGAGACATGTAAAAACTAAAATAAAATCAAGCTCCTCCAGTTCTACTATTGCCCTCTGCAAAAACATCCACCACTTTCAGTCAGAAACAACCAATCAGAGCCAGGAGGAGAGGCTTAGCGCTGTCAATCAATGCTGCTCTATGTGCTAACGGCAGAGAAGCAACTCACCGTTACGGAAAAAGCTGTTTAACCGTCGTCATCGGTGGTTTTGCTAACTAGCCTTAGCATTTATGGCAGGCTTTGTTGTGTGGCAACCAGCTGTAGTGTAGAAAGTGGCAGGCTGTGAGCAGCGTGCACACAGATGTGATTGACAGTGCAGAGACCCTGGCTCTGATATTGGTTGTTCTTGACCAAGCTGTGTGTAGTTGGCTCTGGGTGAAGACAGAGGAGCTCAATTGTTTTCTCTTTTTTTTCCACAGATTATTTGTCTCATGAATGCACTTCTAAGAAATTTATAAACCTGAGCGAAGCTTCAGCTTCCCAATTCAGGCCAGCCAAGAAACATAATCCAAGCGTTTTCTCCTGGATCTCCAAACCATATCAACTGTATAGCAAAGTCCAGGTGCTACAATGGTCCAGTCAAAGGCCAGTCTTAAAATTCACTGACAAAATGTAGCAAAAGGATGGAAATAGATCTTCACCTATGCTCTCCGTCCAGTTTGACTCATCTTTAAGGAAGATGGCATAAACTCAAGAAGTCACAGGCTTCACTGACCGCCCTGTTCACGAGACTGTCTCGAAAAATAGTGTCTTCAGTCAGAGGCTTCTTCGAATTTGTTGTAATACAGACTGCTAGAAGATCTTCACTGCCAACAACCATTTCCAATAAGTGAAGAATTTGAATATAAGTTACAACATTTAATTTTCCTTCAGGGACAAAAAAATATAGATATTTTTGAATTTGCACATGTTGTTTTCATCCCCACCGAGTTATTTGTACTGAACGTTTCTTTTCTTTGCTTAATTTTTTTCTTTTTCTTTTTGTCTCGCTATAAGAGTAAACATGCACATCTGATCTGATCCCACAATTAAAGCAAGACAGAACAAACCCAGAAACACACCCCACCACCTCAAGCTCTGCTCTAGCTTTAGCTACATGGAGGGACTTTTGTTCCCTCAGCGATATGTCCAGCGCTGAACCAGGACCATTTACCCAGAAACCACCTCTGCTCAGCAGCTTCCTGCTGCTCGGCTGTCCCTGTGAATTCTAATTCAGAGAGACAAGGGCACAGACGGAAACCTGCGCCACGACGGGCCTTCGGCGGGCGCAGGTTTCCGGCAGCCTGTTGTTTCTCAGGCGGGTACCACGCGCGGCTACCAAGCAGGAGCCTTGACGACTTTTCCATAATTGGACAAGGCCCCGAAATCCGACGTGACATGTGTGATCACGACCCACAGTCGTGTTTAATTAAATCCTTTTTATTTATTTATTTATTTATTTATTGCCGCAGCACGAGGCGTTCAGACCTCAGTCCCTGCAGCAAAAATAAATAAATAAATAAAATAACAAAATCAAACTGAAATGGGACACTTGCTTTCACTTTAGACACTTGAGTGTTTTTGTTTTGTTTTTTTTATGTTTATGTGTTTCACATCAAACTCAACAGGTGGTGAGTAGGCTGCAGGCTGCAGGCTTTCAGCTGAAGCACGCAGATTGAAACACAGTTTAAAAATAAAGACAAAAAAAAAGAGAGAGATGAAAAATCAACATTTATGGAAGCGGCATTATAACGCCTTCAGCTGCAGAACATGTGTTTGCCGCTTTTGGACTAAATGTGGACGGTGGACGGGCTTGTTGCCTGTGATTCTGCTGCATGCTGCAGATGGACTAACACATGGTGAGAATGCGAAAGGCGGGATATTTGCATGTGACCCAAATCGCTCGCTTCCTTTGTTGCCTGAAAACGGAGGCCGCTGTAGATGCTGAGAAACGATCTGAAGGAATGAGTGAAAATGGATGAGAAAATGTTTTAAAGGGCAGAAAAGCAAACTGCTAGCGAGGCGAGTAATAAGCTTTATAGCGCATCCTTTGAATTTTTCTACACATCTCAAAAGCTTGTTATTGGTGATGTTTATTGGATATTTACTGGACATTTTTGTTGAACTTGCCTCCATTGCAGATTCATAGCACTTCTTAACACGATACGATCACAAACCTTATTGCATTTTATTCACATTTATGCAGAATAAATCTGTAGGTGCAATTGTGATGAGGAAGAACAATGATACATGGTTTTCGAAACAAGTTTAACCCACCCCAAAAAAACAACCCTGAAAAGTGTGGCGTGCTTTTTGTATTGAGTCCCCCTTAACCTGATGCTCCTAAATGAAATAGCATTCAGAGTCAACCTGATTTCAAAGGCTAAATTTATTTTTTACAAATAGTCGGTCAGTTAAAGAATTTATTCAGATTAGTGATGTCATTAATCGTCATGCTTAACTCTGTAAGCTTGAAATGTTACAAGAAAATGATTCAAATCAAGCATCTCAATTGTCATGTTCATAAAGGTTCAAAAGAAGTCATTCTGTTTCAAATGTAATTTAGAAATGTTAACTATAAACTGGAAGAATAAGACATGGTTGCTATAAGTAGGTTACATAGTATCATGGTCTCACCCAAACATTTTTGCTGCATTGCTGACAGCAGTACAAGATCTTCTGTGAATTAAGTAACCCTCCGCAGGAGAGAGGCTTTCAGGTCAAAATAGGTAATGCGATTAATCTGCGTTACATAACATTGAGGCGTCAAAACATTTAGATTAATCGCAAGAGTTAACGTGGACGGCCCTACAATTGATACAGCCGTTCTGTGAAGACTTAAAGAGGTTTGTTAGGAAACAATAACAATAGTTTCAGGGAGTGCAACTCAATATTTTACCATAAAAGAGAGAGATTATGCAATTGTCCATCCATCCATCCATCCATCCATCCATCCATCCATCCATCCATCCATCCATCCATCCATCCATCCATCCATCCATCCATCCATCCATCCATCCATCCATCCCTACTTATCCTTGCAAGGTTCTAGAGGACCTGGTGCCAGCAGTTCCCACACGCCAAAGAAAAAAACTGCTCAGATTGGTGCGATAATTTTTCTATAAGTACTATTAAGTACCTTATCTAACACAAGGCGACGCCTAAATACAATATCTTTGCCTTTTTTGTATGATTGGTGCATTTCTTTCCTGTATTGTGGACTCGGTGAGTATGAACCTGTTCCAAAATAAACAGCACTCATTGACAAAGAAAGGTAAGCCCACCAACACACTCCATGCTCTCATGACCGGTAGGAGAGCATTGATGTTCAGCCTGAATGCGCTCGGTCGCTCGCGATTGGCCAACGTCGCATTCAACACGCGCGCGCACCCCCAGATATTAGCATGCATGTATTTGCAGGGACAGCCTTCTGCGATTGTTCTTTTGGTCTTCATTAATTCTGTAATTGTTCGCCGCCAGTGATTTTTCTGCCAAGTTTTGTCAACATCAAAGCACTTGCTCATCCTCTCTGGAACCAGACCTAGCCCATTAAATTAACATGCATATTGCATCTCGAGCTCAATAAGTTGCCTAATTAATTGTGAGAGGCAACAACAGCTCCTGCTTGTTATGG